TATTTTAAGATTTTAAATTAAAGATGATATCATATAATTTTATATATATATATATATATATATATTTGATTTCTTTAAAAATATTAACAAAATAATATTTATTATAGTAGTAATTAACATCTTATAATTTTTATATCAACATAACAAATGAAAGTATTATCAGATATATTTTTCATCTAGCTTAGAAATCAAATATTAATTATATAACCTTTAAGTATAAAGTAAACTGTGTTAGGACGGGATTATTGTATGTTGAAGATCTACAAAACAATATCAATGATTATTTCTGACAATATTAATTTGTATTATTGTAATTATAAAAAAAATCATATAACCCTTCAATTTTATTTTATTTTTAAATTCCATTTTGTACAAAAAGGTTAAGAACTTACATGCATCTAATGAATCCAAGAAGAATGAGGCAAATTATTGGGAATAAATCCTAATGAATTGATTCAATGATCAATACCTTATATTTGATTAGAGGAAGAATCTCACCGACAAAAGGAGTTGAACCATTTTTGTCAGTTTTAAACTTTGATTGGGGCACTCCAACAACCACCATATGCATGCAAGTGTCATCCAGTGGTTGACACTTAAAAAAAATCTTGGATTGGTGACAGAGGACTTACGTAACAACCTCAACCTCTTACAAACAAACAACTCATCAGATCCAATCCAAAAAACCACGACAACAAAACAACTTGCGGGGTTTGTATGGTGTCTTATAAAGATTAGGTTTACTGGTCTCAGTTATAACAAATGTTTAACATTCAAGATTTCCATAATTACACTTCGAAGCATTCATAATCATAATAATACCCTAAAATGTGGAAATTGTGAAATTTCATTTTTCCTACTACAATACTTGTGTATATCTCACATACTAGCGTGGATGAGAAGGTTTTGTTCTGATAGGGTTAGAAAATTAGTTGTAGGCAATTCACAAGCACTGGGTCCCCATCTACGTAAGATCATGGTGTGACATAGTTTTTTTATATATTTTTTTTCCCCAGTTTTATTAATGTTTGTCGATTTTCTCTCATAATCACATAGCCCTTACCCTAGGTTGCTTTTTATAATACGTATTATTTTGTTTAGCAATAACTTTTCTAGGGTAAGATTTTGGGTGATTCATTTTCGTTCATGACATAATTATAATGTGCGCAAATAGATGATGCTTGATGAATTATTAATCAATCATAAGTAGAAAGTAAGAGAGAGTTGGATCGATTAAAAGTAGAATCTCAAACTATTTACTTTACGTTTGCTAGTGTGTGAATTTTTTGCCAATTAATTATTTAAATCCAATATGAAAGGAACTGCCTATCTTCCTTATAGCCAAAAATTATTTATATAAATGTTTTTAGCTTCAATCCTAAGACGTGGGCTCGACAATCTTGTTTTGTTGTGAGACAACAAGTCATTCAGGAAATCAACTTATAATCATTAGTCTAAGCTAAATGATGTGCTAATATGAATTCATTATCATAATACATATAATAACTGGAAATCTCACTCCATGTATAGTTAATTTATAATATATAATTAAAGGATAAATTTTATTATTTTAAAATTATCGTAACCTCGTAAGTTTGACATAAGATAATATATATCATTCTTTTTTAAATTTATTCAAATGTGTTAATATATCGTCCAATTTAACTAAGTTACACTACAAAAAAAACGCTTATTATCTACGGGTAAAATCCGTAGGTAATGACAAAAATCCGTAGGTAATGTCACTTTACCTACGGATTTCTTTCCGTAGAAAATCCGTAGGTAATTTGGTCGTAGGTAATTACCTACGGATTTATAATCCGTAGGTAATGCACTCGTGGTAATTACCTACGGATTTATAATCCGTAGGTAATGCACTCACCTTAACAAAATATTTTTATTTATTACAACCCCCTCTCTTATTTTTTATTATTACCTAGAACCCCCTCCCCTTTATATTATATTATTAATATTTATTATATTTTCGAAACTTTGAATTATTATTAGATTAAGGAAATTGTCATTGGCAGGATTTGAACCCAGTCACCTCGAGTTGGAGGCTGATACTCCAACCACTAAGCTATTAGGTTATTTTGAAAATAATTTACAAATAAATTATATTTATATATTTATATATTTATATATTTATATATTTATATATTTATATATTTATATATTTATATATTTATGTATTTATATATTTATATATTTATATATTTAAATATTTATATATTTAAATATTTAAATATTTATATTTTTAAATATTTATATATTTATATATTTAAATATTTAAATATTTAAATATTTATATATTTATATATTTATGTGTTTATGTAATTATGTATTTATATATTTATGTATTTATGTATTTATGTATTTATGTATTTATGTATTTATATATTTATGTATTTATGTATTTATGTATTTATGTATTTATGTATTTATGTATTTATGTATTTGTATATTTTATATTTGTATATTTGTATATTTATATATTTATATATTTATATATTTAAATATATTTATATATTTATATATTTTATATTTATATATTTACACGAATTAATATAAGTATAATTTAGTTGTAAATTATTATAAGAATATCCTAATAGTTTAGTGGTTGAAGTATCAGTTTTCAACTTTAAGGTACTGAGTTCGATTCTTGCTAGTGACAATTCTTTTAGTTTAATATAATTTATCTACGGATGGTAATTCCGTAGGTACCCACGGATGATATTACGGGTAATATCCGTAGGTAATGTACAATTTACCTACGGATTTTCATCCGTGGGTAATATCCGTAGGTAATGTAAAATTTACCTACGGATTTTTATCCGTGGGTAATATCCATAGGTAATGTAAAATTTACCTACGGATTTGTATCCGTAGGTAATATTCCGTAGGTAATAGGCTTTTTTTTTGTAGTGTTAAAAGTGAAAAATATTTAGCGTTGATTAATAATTTAGCAATTAATATTTGATTTTGTTGGAATGTTAGGCCTAATTAATTTTTGTTCTTTTGTTAACCATGTTCTGTTATAAATACAGTACACATGTACAATTTATAGTAACAGTATGCAAAGTAATAAAGTCATATTACTTTTCTCTCCAAATTTTTTTTCTCTCAATATTCTATCCAAGACTTTATATGTTTAGTTCGATTTGTTGGAGATATATGTTCCTAGTGAAAAAAAGAAGAAAACTTGACTATAAAAGCGAAAAACTAATTTTGATGGGATATCATTCAACAAGAGTTTAATTATAAGTTGTATGATCATATCACGAAATAGACCATCATTAACAGAGATCTTATAGTCAATGAAGTCAGCTAGGATTGGAATTCAATAGAGAATAATAAGAATAGTAGTTCTAATGTTTCTTGTGATGATCAAGAAATCGACGAAAAAAATCAACCGATTTGAGAAATCAACAGAAGAAGAAATCAATCAATTCAAAAAATCAACAGAAGAAGAAATCGATCGATTCAAGAATTGAAAGAAGAAATCAATCAACAAATAGTGATAGGAGAAAGAAATCGACAAGCAAGAATAATAAGAGTACCAAGAACACTCAATGATTACGTGATATATATTGATGATATAATCACAACAACAAGACGAATTATTGAAGAAACTGAGGTTGAAAATGATCTAGGTCATTTAGCTTTATATGTTGAAATTGAACCAAAACTAGTGTGCTTTAAAGATGATTGAAGATCCTAAGTGGATAGAAACAATGAAAGAAGAATTGTTTGTAATAAAAAAGAATCATACATAGGAATTAACTTTTTTACTAAAGAATTAAAGACCAATAGATGTGAAATGGGTATAAAACAAATTTAAAGCCAGCTAGAACAGTTGTAAGGTATAAAGTCATACTTAATGGCAAAAGGTTTTGTTCATAAAAAAAGCTTGGATTACAAGGAACTTTATGCATCAATGGCTAGAATGGAGACAGTAAGAATTGTTGCAACTCTTACAAGTTACAAAAGATGAGAAATGCATCAAATGGATGTTAAATTTGCTTTCTTAAATGATGAATTGGAGGAGGAAGTGTATGTTACATAACCACCAGGATTCATGATTATTGATGAAGAACATAAGGTACTTAGACTGAAGAAGGCTTTGTGTGGCCTAAAACAATCTCCGAGAGCCTTGATATGAATCTCAATAGCACAAGGGATGATTTAGGATCTTTAGGGTTAGAACCTTGTAGGAAATTTAGGAATTTAGTGATAAGGTGGAAGGAAAGAATCATTCTTCCCAAGGGAGGTAACTCACAAAGGATGTGAAAGTCCTTTGATACAGTCAAGTGTTCTTGAATCAGTCAAGTGTTCTTAAATCACTCAAGAATTTAGGAGAATCACTCTCATCAAGATAAAAAAGCTAAACTCTAATATTTTTAAATAAAATTCAACTTGTTATATTTGATAAAAATATGGTTCAACCTATATAGAAGTTTTGTCATCAGAATTACAAAGATTCAATAAAGGAAAATAAATGCTAATAATGATTCATTAACCTAGGAATTGAAAACAACTTAATGGAGACAAATAAAGGCTAATAATGATTCATTAACCTAGGAATTGATACTATTTAATGACTGATTGTAACTGAAATTGTGGCAGCCAAAAGTCAATCAGCTATGCACCATCTTGGTCTCCCAAAGACAGATGTCTAAGTTTCCAATTGGGCCTTTATTACAACTTGCAATAAAACCAAACTAAAGTTCATTAATTGATTAATCTAAAACACAATTTGGTCAACCAACATTAAGGCTGCTACTTGATTCTTAGTTTCAGTCAACTCTTTTTTTCATTTTTAGCTTATCTATTTTTTTGTCTTTGTAACTCTTGTCTCTTTCTTCTCCTTCTCCTTCAATTAGACAGTCAAATTTTGAAAATGTTGATGTTTTAAGGAGTCAAATTCAAGTCTTCTCCTTCTACTTCTCCTTCTTCTTCTTCATCATCTTCATTTTAATGAATGTTATATAAAAATCAACCTCTTCACCAACAACCTCATCTTCTTGTAGGTGGCCAATTGGATCATCCTCAATTGTTGTATTAACTTGTAACTCATTCATTTGATATGCAATTTCTAAAGTATGTTTATCATCAACAACTCCCCTTGGTTTTGTTTTGATAACTACTAGCCAATCAACCTTATCCTTTAGTCGCCAAGGAAAAGATGAGTAGTAAACTTGGGTTGTAGCTTTTGGAAAAATAAAAGGATCAAATTTTTCATATTTTCTTCTTTTTCTTACCTCTACAATCTTATATTTCTTATGTATTCTCGTCCCATGGTTTGAAGGATCAAACCAATCACAATAAAATAAAACTAACTTTTTATGTGATTGACTTGGTCATTCCAATTTTAATATATCTACAAGAACACCATAATAATCACTTGATGTTTCACCATGTCCAATTCCACTAACACATACTCCACTATTATATGTTGTTTTGCCTTTACCCCATGTTTTTGTATGAAATTTGTACCCATTCACAAAATAAATTGGCCACAACTTTGCTATCCTCAAAGGTCCCCTTGCCAAGTCATAGAAATTTGAATTTTGTAACCTAAGTTGGTGATTCTGTTTTACCTATTCAAATAAAAGTTGTAATAAATAACTTAATAAAATGTGCTATCAAATTTATTTGTTTAATCAAAGCAAAACTTACATATTCTTCAAACCACCGTGGGAAATCAGCTTCTATTTGTTTAGCAATGATATCATCATTGAGATTCCCATAGGTATCTTTCAAAGTTTGTACATATAAACTACAAAAAAGGATAATTAAATTATATGACTATTGTTAAATGAATTAAAATTGACAACTATATAATATTTGACACTTACTTAATGAAAGATTTAACCTCGTTACAGTTCAAAAGAACATGCAATTGGGTAGCCAACCTTTCCCTATCATTAAGCCACCTTTCTTTATATTTACCCGTCGTTTGTCCAAATGGCTTAAAGATGGATAATGTTAACTTTGTATTGTCTTCATGAACTCCCTCATTCACACAAGTTTGAGGTGCAAAATAATGAGAACTGAAATATGATTCTCTTGTAGTAAATATGCTTCACAAATGGACCCTTCCACACTTCTCTTGTTCTTCACAGTTTTATTTTATTTTATTTAGAAAACTATGTACAAAAAATGTAATCAATTATTTGGTGAATTGTACAATTGGGTATAAAAGAATGTTACCTTTCAAATTGGTACATCCAACGGTATTGAACTGGTCCACCCATCCTAGCTTCAAAAGGCAAATGAATTGGTAGATGTTCCATAGAGTCAAAGAATGCAGGTGGAAATATACGCTCTAACTTGCACAATATTATAGAAATATTTTGTTCCATTTGCAATAAATGATCTTCATGTAACACACTTGAACATAAATCTCTGAAGAATTGGCTAAGCTCAGTTATGGGCTTCCATATGGGTTCAAGAAGAGTTCTCAAAGCTATTGGGAGAAGACATTTCATAAAAATATGACAATCATGACTTTTCATCCCATATAATCTTGTACATTTTCTATGTACACATCTAGAAATGTTAGAAGCATATCCATCAGGCATCTTTAAATCCTTCACCCATTCACACACATCATTCTTTTGTTTATTTGATAAACAAAATTTGGCTCTAGGCTTTATACATTTCCCATTAGGATTTGTTTTTAACAATAACTCTTTTCTATTACAATACAATGTCAAGTCCAATCGTACCTTCTCATTGTCTTTAGTTTTCTCTTTGGTATCCATAACAGTATGAAACAAATTTTCAAAGACATTTTTTTTCTATGTGCATAACATCTAAATTGTGTCTCAATAAATTGTGTTTCCAATATGGAAAATCCCAAAATATGCTTCTCTTTTTCCAATTATGGGAACGTCCATGACTAGGCACATTGCATATCTTCACTTCAGGTGCATATCTTCACTTCAGTTGACTTAGGAATGTAAGAGACCATATCCCATACTTATTCACCACTTAATCTAGGAGGAGACTCATCTTTCTCAATTCTATTTTTGTAAAAAGCATCCTTATTGTTGAACATTCAAGGACTTGGTGTTGCACTTGATGGACATGAAGATTGTTGATTTTGATGATGATTCAAGAACATAAAGACTTAGAGTGTTGAAGACTTGTTTTGTATTGTAATAACTCTGTTTCAATTAGATTGAGTCTGTAATATTAGAGTTTAAGATAGCCGGTACATAGTTTGCACCTTAGAAGCTTCAAAAAGCTCAAATTTATCATCCAGGCTCGGCTTTAATCGATTAAATAGGGAAATAATCGATTAAAACAGTGAGAAAAATCATTTTTTGTAACAACTCACTGGTTTAATCGATTAAACCAATTTTTAATCGATTAACAGGCGATTTAATCGATTAAACCACCTTTTAATCGATTAAAACAGAGAGGTTTGGGTTCTGTTGTTTTTTGGCTCTGTTTTAATCGATTAACACTTCATTTAATCGATTATTTCAGTCAGATTTTGAATTTTAACTTCAAAACAAACCTATTTTCAAAAACCCTATTTCCAAGAACCCTAGTTTCGAAATCCCCAATTCCTAAACCCTAATTTCTCTACTTAAACTCTTCTATGACACTCAGAAAAGAAGAACAACCTTTTTCATACAAAAGTTAAGTGTTGTAGTGCTAGAGAACTATTTGTTGCAAGAAAAATGGGCTTTTGGAACCTGGTGTGGGCTAGAAGCGATAAGAATCACTAAGTGGAGTTCTTAGTGGATTGTGTGTTGTGTCGTCTCTAGGGAAAGTTGTTCATCATCTCTTGTGGATTTCAAGAGAGGTGTTTTCTTATCTTTATCTTTTCAATTGTAATTTGCTTTAACAACTTGATTATAGTGACAGCGTTAATCCTCTGTTTAAGTGATTAGCAACTGGACGTAGGGTCTTTTGATCCGAACTAGTATAAATTTCCTGTGTAAGATTCTCTTCTCTTCTCTATTTACATTTACACAGTTTTTAATCGGTAAAATTTGGGGAAAATTTTGAAAACCTAATTTTTGTTAAGAAACCAATTCACCCCCCCCTCTTGGTTTTTGTCCGACCACGCGAACATTCCGCTGCGCGATTCTGTAACAAGTGGTATCAGAGCTTGCTTTGATAGTCATTCAAATTTTCGAAAATGGCCGGGCAAAATCAAACTTTTGCCGAAGGTGCATCTATCAACAGACCCCTACTTTTTGCGGGTCAAAATTATCCTTTCTGGAAAGTAAGATTGCAAATATTTTTAGAGTCTGTTGATAGAGGCGTTTGGGACGCTATTTTAAATGGTCCATTTGTTCCTAAAATTACTGAGAACGGTGTTGACGTTCTTAAACCTTTTTCTAGATGGACTGCAGAAGAAAATAGGAAAGCCCAATTTGACGTTAGGGCTAGAAATATTATTTCATCTGCTCTAACCCTTGACGAGTTTTATAGAATTTCTGTTTGTAAAAGTGCACAGGAAATGTGGGAAATGCTTAGAGTGACCCACGAAGGAACTGACGACGTTAAGAGAGCACGTAAAAACTCCTTAATCCAAGAATACGAGATGTTCCGGATGCAACAAGGCGAAACGATTTTTTACGTTCAAAAGCGTTTCACTCACATTGTGAATCATCTCACCGGGTTAGGTAAAGTATTTGACGTTGATGAATTAAATGTTAAAATTTTGAAATCTTTGGATAGGAAGTGGCAACCTAAGGTGACGGTCATCTCAGAGTCACAAAATCTTTCCACAATGTCAATGGCGGCGCTATTCGGAAAGCTAAGAGAGCATGAGCTTGAGCTTGGTAGGCTAAACGATGAAGAAGGGCAATATCAAAAGAAAAATCTAGCCTTCAAAACCGAAATCTCCAAAGGTAAAAATAAAAGGGAAGAAGAAGACTCAAACGATGAAGAAGAAGAGTTGAGTCTTATGATAAAGAAGTTTACAAAATTCATGAAAGCCAAAGGAAGACTTCCCTTCAAAGGTAAAGGAAAGGTAAGGGAAAATTCTTCTGTAAATATAAAATGTTATGGTTGTGGTGAAGCAGGACATGTAAAGACCGAATGTCCAAATAAGAAGAATGATGAATTCAAAGGCAAAAAGGTCTTCAAGAAGAAAGCCTATATTGCTTGGGACAATAGTGATTCTAGTTCGGAATCAAGTGACTCGGAAGTTGAATCCAATATTTGCTTAATGGCAAATGACAACATATCTTCCGACTTTGAGGTAAGTGATTCCGACCCATTTTCTAGTGATGATGAAAATGATCATGATGAATTGCAAAATGCATATAATGAATTGTTTAGTGCTTTCAAGAATTTGAAAAATGAATATAAAATTGTGAAGAAGAATTTAAGTAGATCCGAAAAGGAAATAGACTCCTTAAAAATAAAAATCACATGTTTAGAAGAAAAGGAGTCCATAGAAACGAAAATTGTATGTTTAGATGAGGAAAATGATAAAAACCTAGCATGTGCAAATTGTAAAGAGCATGAATATGACATAGATATTCTTAATCATTTGCTAGACAAAGCCGAAAAGGAAATAGATGATCTTAAGAAGCATGAAATGGTGTTTGCTCAAAATAGTGTAAATCATCAAGTCCCTTTGAAAAAGCCTAAAACTAAAAAGAAAAGAGTATGGGTAGAAAAAGGAACTAGAGCATCTATGATTAGAAATGCATCATTTTCAAATACTACATCTAAAGCATGTTTTTATTGCACGAAACAAGGTCACACATCAAATAGATGTAAAATTAAACATTTTGGTGTACCTAAAGGTAAATACGTTTGGGTTCCTATAGTTAAATAATTTGTTATATCTCTAACCCCAAGGACCCAAATGTTGTGGGGACCTAAATTTACTATATTCTTGTTTTGTAGGAAACTTCCAAATCAAAGAAGTCTATGTGGTATCTTGATAGCGGATGCTCAAAACATATGACCGGAGATAAATCTAAATTTGTGAGTTTCAAGGCTAAGGAACAAGGATATGTAACTTATGGAGATAACAACAAAGGGAAGATCCTTGGAATTGGAAACATAGGTGGTGCAAACACTTTGGAGATCAAGGATGTGCTACTTGTTGATGGACTTAAACATAATCTCCTTAGTATAAGTCAATTATGTGACAAAGGCTTTAAGGTAATATTTGAAAGTCAATTTTGCACCATTCACTTGATAGATTCCGAAAATATAGAATTAAAAGGTATTAGGCATAACAACATATATTTGATTGATTTGGATTGTTTACATGATTCTAGCATAACATGTTTAGTTGCTAAGGAAGAGAACCCTTGGTTATGGCATAAAAGAGCTGCTCATATAAACATGCATCATTTAAACAAATTGATTTCAAAAGACTTAGTTATTGGATTGCCTAAGTTAAAATTTGAAAAAGATAGATTGTGTGATGCATGTCAAAAAGGTAAACAAGTAAAAACATCATTTAAATCAAAGAATGTTATTTCCACTTCAAAACCCCTAGAATTATTACATTTAGATTTATTTGGACCTTCTAGGATAAAAAGCTTTGGTGGAAATTATTATGGACTTGTGATTGTTGATGATTACTCTAGATATACATGGACATTTTTCTTAACTACGAAAAGTGAAGCTTTTAAGGTCTTTAGAAAATTTGCAAAACAAATTCAAAATGAAAAAGACTTAAGAATTAAAGTTTTAAGAAGTGACCATGGTGGTGAGTTTCAAAATGAAAAGTTTGAAAATTATTGTGAAGAAAATGGAATATTACATAACTTTTCTACTCCTAGGACT